TACTGTGTGTGTGTGTGTGTGTGAACAGGAACACCGTGTCCTCCTAACCCGACCAATCAGCATGGATTAGACAGAACTGAATGGGAGGTCTGGTGGACCCTCCTCACCCTCCTCACGTCCTTCTGAGGCAGCAGTCACTTATAATCTCTCTAACAATCTATCTTTAACACCGTAACATTTAGAAACATAATACTTATACATTTAAACACAGAGTTAAGTAAACTGTAGGAAAAATTCAAATTTGGGTTCAGATACATGAAGGCAACTGCATGTATCTGATATCATACACATGTACTGAGTGTGAACAGTGAGAGCAGGAGAGAGACACAACACATCCTGAACCTCCACTGATACAGATCTGTCAGATCCACAGGTTAAAGATCAGCTGATGTCAATTTCAGTCTGTGACAGTAAGGTAAGTTCTGTACGTTCCACACTGAAAAGTGACGTCTGAAAAGGTTAAAGGTCAAACACATAAAAGCTGAATGCGACCCTGAGCGTCTCAGCTGCTGTGAGGACATCCGATAAGACAGATAAAACTTTCTTTCATGGTTTCATTTGGCAGCTCGTAGATCACCCTGATTATGATTTATTCACACTTTTTTACGTTCATCTGGGCCATCGTCCAGGACCAGAGACCCACGTTAAGTCATAGTCTCTTCTTTTACTCAGTCTTAGCTCTTATATTGATCAGTCATGTGAATTATTGATTGCCACTAAATATACAGATAAGAAATAAAGCTAAATAATGAAACAACAATGGGTCAAAAGGTTACATCTCTATTTTTCAAGTGTAAAAACAACAGTTGATCCTTCCTAAGCCCCGCCCCTTCTTGCTCTGTGCTCCAATCACAGTTTCAACTTTCTCCTTTCCTGTACTTAGATATACTACATGCTAAGGTAATCTATGTTAGAAAGAAAACCACATTTTGAAGATGGTTAAAAAGATAAAAGACATTTATATAGTGACATCTTAAGTCTCTCTGTCTGTCTCTCTGTCTGTCTGTCTCTCTCTCTCTCTCTCACCCCAACTGGTCGAGACAGACGACCACCCACCTAGAGCCGGAGGATCTGTCCTAGGTTTCTGCCTTTTAACAGGCAGTGTTTCCTTGCCCTTGTCTCCAAGGTCTTGCTCATGGTGGTACTGTTGGGTCTCTGTAAATAATGTTATAAGGAGTTCGGTCTAGACCTGCTCTATTTGAAAAGTGTCCTGAGATAACTTCTGTTACGAATTGCCGCTATACAAATAAAACTGAATTAAATAAAAAAATTAAGTTAGCTAATGTTAGCTAAACATTAGCAAATGTTGGCAAAATGCTAAGCTAATCAACATCAATTGTTATCTAGCTGATTAACTAGCATTGAACTAGCTAGCTGATCTAATTTAATCGTTATTTTGCAAATTAGCTATGGTTTTGCTAACATTAGCCATCAGATGTAACAAGCTAATGATTGATATAGATTAGCTAGATAGTTAGCCAACATTTGCTAACATTAGCCAACTTTAGATGTTACTATATATGTCACTTTTACCTTTTAACCATCTTCATAATTAAACCGACTATCTAACTATCGATTGAGGTAAATTAACTAGTTAGTTAGCTAGCTTTTTGCTAACAATAACTTTTTGATTTAACTAGCTAGCTACCAACTGACCACATTACATCTGATAGCTAATGTTAGTGAAACAATAGCTAATTTGCTACATTGTCACTGATTTAGATAAGTTAGCTAATTGAATGTTGCCAGTAACCTCCTGCAGGAACTCTTCGCCAGAAAGCAAATAAGCGTATTTTCCAAAATAATTCACTTTAAACTTTAAAGTGCTGACTGTAGAAATCCAGAATGCCTTCATTCTCTGTTCATATATGAATGTGATTGATGTTTATGTCTGTCTGTACAGAAACAAAGTGCAGCTCCACAGTACCGTGGTCAGTAAAGCTGACCCGGGACATGTGAGGAGTGCCTCCTCTTGTCTGCGTGGCACGTGACGCTTGTCGAACGGTGCTCAGATTAAGGGAAAGGGGTTAGAGCAGCTCAGCAGGTGTGTTCCCAGCAGAAGGTAAATGTGTCAGACAGGTGACAACACTCACTGTGTGCTGCTGACCTGATCCTGATCGCTGCACGTCAAAGTCACAGAGGAGAAGTCAGATAGCAAAACAACACGGTGACCAGCTGCAGAGTCCTTTTGACTGTGTGTGAACATCAAGGTCTGAATATTGTATGTATATAACAGATACATGTAAATGCAGTTGCTGCACTAGTGATGATGCACGTGGTCAACTACATTAGATTCTTCCTCTGTTTGTAGACAAAGATGTTGGAAAGTATTTTCCTTTGTTCGAAGAAGCCTGAGCTCGCTTGGACATTGATTTCAAACTGGTTTTGATGGAAAATCTTTACTCTGCTTAGAGGTGTGAGGAAGAGCTCCAGTCATACTGTCCTTCCCTCCTACCATCAAAAACAGATATGTTAGGTAGTTCTGTGAGAACTGGCGCGGGTCCCCACAGCTCTAACTCTTAGGATGGGTCAAACTCAGAGAACAAATTTCCCTGCGGGGATCAATACATTAACATTTGTTAGATTTGGTCCTGTTGTGAGCTGGGGTTAAAATTCCCAACCATGATTGCCGATATACCCGCCCATCACCGCCGGAGATGAGTGGCGCTATGTGCCATAAGCTCTCATAGCAATAACAAATAAAATAAACTTACCAAATATTAAGAAAGGAAATATTCTAACAACTATTTTCCTCATTGAACAGAAAAATACAATGAAATAATTTCTGAATTTAACTAACGTTAGCTTAATTTCCTTGTTTACTCATTGTAAAACACAACTCTGGTGCCTAACCGTCAAACCGAGTGCCGGACCGTCCCTGCAATGTCTTCATCATCCCCGTTGTCAGAGTCCTGGTCGGAGCCACTGGAAGTCACCTCGTTGCTGTATTCACTGTCTTCAGACTGAAATAAACTCTTAATTCCGTTAGATGTGAAAGTGTATGAACTGTGCGTCTGTTGTCAGCAACACTGTTCTGAGTACTGAAGGCAGATTGATTCCTGTTCGGTCACTTCCTGTGAGTATTGTAACCCATTTCAGTGGCGGTGTATCTGACGTTGGAGTTCTGCCATTATCAACATGTCACTTTGTATTTTGGGGCTTGTGTAATCGTGAGCACTTAGAGTACAGGGTTTTCATCTGATCTTAACATAACCGACCCTCTGACTCATTGCCTCTGAGAGCTCATAGTCTTTGTCAAACATAACCTCGGCTTCTGCTGTGAAGCTGCCAATGTACTAGAAAGCTGAGAATGAATAGGATTTACTGTTGGCAATGTGTCGGAATTGTAAGCTTATGAGATTTGATTTTTGTGTAAATTCTGTAAATTTCTCCAAGGCCTTTTTCTCAGTTTCTGAATCCAGCAGAGATGAAATGCTGCATCTGTAGTTTTTGTAAGAGAAGACTTCTCAACATTATAATCTTTGTGCAGTGCAAGAAGACAGGCCTCCTTTCAAATTATGGCTGTGGTGAAGCCAAGGGAAATCTTTAAACAAATTTTCTTGGAAATATGGAGTTGTTAAAGTTTTTGAACGGCTATCTGTTTTGGACTGAGCTGATGTGGCTCACTGCTCCTGCTCTGCCTCAGATTCTCTTCCATCTTTCCTGAGCTGCCACTGACCTCTGCCTGCTGCAGATCCAGCTAAAATAAACAGAAGTAAAAGAACGACGTCAGTACATTTAACACTAAGTTTAGACACATTTAACATGTATGGTAGTAATGGTGTGACTGAAATGGTATATGAGCCATTTATAGTTCTAATTAATCTTACTGGGGCAGGATCCACAGTTTGTTATTTATGCTTCTGATCCTGACTGATCAATAACAAATTCTGATCGTGACTGATCAATTACAAACTCTGATCCTGACTGATCAATAACAAACTCTGATCCTGACCAACTGTGAATCGTGACGTCACCCATCGGTTTGTGGAGAACTGTTTTGAAGCCTGGAATTCAGCGTTTTGGCCGCCGCCATGACAGTAAAATGCAGCCAGCGGAGGTCACGTACAGTGAGTGGAGCTGCTCTCATTGGCTGCTCTTGGTTTGGAAACAATGGCGGCTCTCCTGCTCACACAGGATCTGGTATTCCAGATAAACAGTAAAATGTGTTTGTGAACAGATCTGAGGAGAGAAATAGTCAACAACAGAATCTGGATCCATATCTGATCAGCACTGTTTGACAGTTTGATCTGAGTTTGGTTGAGCTGGACGGAGTCACTGAGAATGAGCTGTCAATCACAAGGTAGCCCCGCCCTAAAGCATACCCTGCTTTATGGTCTGTTTTACTCTCAATGGGACCATCAGTTACTAAATGAACGTCATGCTGTATGGAAGAAGACTGAAACTAGAGACTGAGACCAGAAACTCATTAGGAAACCGTTTACTGAGCTCATTCTCCATTAGAGTGAATGGGATCAGTTTATAGTGCAGCCAGTGGAGCTCCCTCTGCTGGCCATCACACAGAATGCAGGTTGCACTCACTTCCACATTGGTTTCACTTTTCAGACCCGGAAGCTCTGTCCATCATACATACTGTCAATGATCCTGACTGATCAATAACTGATGATCTTTGTGTGTGTGTGTGTGTGTGTGTGTGTGTGTGATTGTGTGTGTGTGTGTGTGTGTGTGTGTGTGTGTGTGTGATTGTGTGTGTGTGTGTGTGTGTGTGTGTGGATTGTGTGATTGTGTGTGTGTGTGTGTGTGTGTGTGTGTGTGTGTGTGATTGTGTGTGTGTGTGTGTGTGTGTGTGTGTGTGTGATTGTGTGATTGTGATTGTGTGTGTGTGTGTGATTGTGATTGTGTGTGATTGTGTGTGTGTGTGTGTGTGTGTGTGTGGGCTGCAGATTAGATCGAGGGCTGCAGCCTGTAGTCCCTCCTCCCCCCTCCTCCCCCTGCAGCTCCTCTATATATACAGCAGGCGGGAGAGAGAGAGGGAGTCAGGGGAGAGAGAGAGAGAGTCAGGGGACGAGCTGCACCAACTCCAGTGTGTGTACAGCAGAGAGCGAGTGCAGGAGAGAGACACTCACACTGACTGAGGGACAGTTTGATTTATTTCTCTTCAGTTTGAGTCTGAAGCAGGTGTGGACAGACAGACAGACAGACAGACAGACAGGTAAAGCAGGTGACCCTCCTCTGACTCTCCTCTGATGATGGACGACTATACTCTTCCCTTCTGGATTTACCTGGGCGTTTTGACCGTGTTTGTCGTTGGGGTCATGAAGAAGATTTTGGCGTCCCACCTGGGCGCCGCCCCCCCCCTGGTGGCCTGGCTGGGCGCCACCGTGCTGGTGGAGCGGCTGTGGGCGTTCTGCCTGCCTGCCGTGCTACTGCTGGCACTGCTCGGCCTTGCCTGTTGCCTTTACTCCGCCGCCAGAACCGGCCCGCCACCCGCCACCCTGCCCGCCCACGGCAAGGCTGTCTTCATCACAGGTAGGACAAGGCTCCACCCACTCTTCCAGATGTGTGTGTGTGGTTTCGAGAGCACAGGTATCTGCTGCAATCTGCACTTTAATTTGAGGATGTAGTCGGTTTTTACAGCGTGTAGAAGCTTTTCAGCTTCCTCGTTCTATGTGTTCGATTTGCTCTGGAAATAATATTATATAATATTATATGTTAATAATAATTATTATTTAATGGTTTTAACTTGTCCAGAAACAATCCATTCTTCAACTGATCAGAAAGCATGAAAACTACTAACAATAGATGTAAAGATGATGACGATGTCAGAACTTTCTTAAGATCCCAACTCTGGTCAGGAGTTTGACGTTTTGTGTCAGAAACAATCACTAGAGATTCAAATGCAGCCATTAAACTGAACATTGAACCAGAGAATCAGAGACTTCAGGAGGAAACCAGCCTGCAAGAGGTTAAAGGAAAGTTTCGTAATCTTTTGTGTGAGTGTAAACGATCACAGACGAGGTCACGCTGTACTCAACCATCGTATCTGTGCTCAGATCAGGGAGGTGATCTGATCCCACTGAGTGAAAAAGAGTGTGTGTGTGTGTGTGTGTGTGTGTGTGTGTTTAAACTGTGTGAACAATAGACTGCTGTGTGGGGGGGGGTCCCCTTCACAATAAAAGGTTTAAGGGAAACATTGAGAGGAAGGTGTGCTCACAGGTCACTGAGTGCTTTTCTGCCACTCTGTGCTCTCAGACTGCCGTAGAAATAATAGTTTATGAATCTGTGTGTGTGTGTGTGTGTGTGTGTGTGTGTGTGTGTGTGTGTGTGCAGACTTAATCACATCTCTGCATCTGACGGCCAGCTGGCTCTGGGTGTGTGTGTGTGTGTGTGTGTGTGTGTGTGTGTGTGTGTGTGCTGGCTCTGGGTCTGTGTGTGTGTGTGTGTGCTGGCTCTGGGTCTGTGTGTGTGTGTGTGTGTGTGTGTGTGTGTGTGTGTGTGTGTCTGGCTCTGGGTCTGTGTGTGTGTGTGTGTGTGTGTGTGTGCTGGCTCTGGGTCTGTGTGTGTGTGTGTGTGTGTGTGTGTGTGCTGGCTCTGGGTCTGTGTGTGTGTGTGTGTGTGTGTGCTGGCTCTGGGTCTGTGTGTGTGTGTGTGTGTCGTGGTTAATGAGATAATCAGATCAGCAGATTAATGCTGTTTAATAATGGCGCTCTGCCTTTGTGTACTCTGCTGTAATCTGCACACAAACACACTCATGGTGGAAACTTCCCCAAAGTGTCCCTCAGGTAACCCAAAAAACAGCCGTCACCATGGAGACGGGAGGCTGGTTGCTCACTCAGCTGTTTTATTACCTGCTGTTTTAGGACAGATGCTGACGCCTTCATGGAATCAGCTGACTGATGTTCAGCTTTCATTATCATCATTTGGTTATAAAATCTCAGAAGACAACAATGAGAGCAGTCTCAGTTAACAATGAGCCTGCTCTCATTGGCTGGCGCTCGTTGTGATATTGATCATGATGGATATTTTGGCGTCGGCGAGCTCTCTGATGGCGTCTTTGAGCAGTTCACACATAGCGATCGTCCTCATGGAAGCGAGCGCTGATATGATTCAACTCAGGACTAAAATCAGGAATCGAGAACTCATTTTGAGTCACAATCAACCTCTGAGCTCAGTCGCTGACGGGACAATTGTTTTGCATATTGATGTTCCGACCTCTTGTGGACTAAAATATGAACATAATAATCACTTGAACAAAGTAAAATAATAGCTACAGCTCCCATGAGTATTTGCTGCTGTCTCTGTCTCCTCCAGCAGAGCTCACATGCACACATTTGTAGACTTTGAACCAAGGTGTGGACTCCATCCAGCAGGAAGGAGCTCGTTTGATGAGGATGAAAGAGATCTGGGTCACACAAACACCAGCCGGATGTCACTGAACCAGAGACCTGAACCTTTTCAGGCCCTCAAACTGAACCTCAGATCCCACCATGACTGTGTTCAGGAGCACAAAGGTCTGTCCAGAAAACCTCGAAGGAAATAATCAGGAAATTATGGAGCCTTAAAATACAGCATTACCCACAATCCTCCCGCAGCAAGCTCCAGAAAACATCCGTTCAGGTCCTAAATACTGACAGACGTTGTGGTGGCAGAAAAACAGCGCAAACAAGCGGAGAGTAACGTACAGAAACGTCTACAAACAACACAGAGTCCGAAGTCAAAGCTAACATTACTGTAAAGCGTGTGGAATATAGCAGTTAGGCTCAGCCCACAAAACACAGCATCAATGTTTACAAACATAAAAAGGTCAATAGCTGTCGGGTCACATGTGATTGATCAGCTGAACAATGATCAGCTGATTCCTGTTGTGTTGAAGAACAACCTCAGACCAATCTAATCAAAGGGAAACTCCTCTTGCTCTGCTCAGTGTCACACAGCCCATCAGCCAATCACAGCTCTGCATTGTCTGATAAAGTCAGTGCAGTTTATGTGTCACTATGTGTGATGGATTCATCCGTTCAGTTCATGAATTCAACCTCTCTGAAGAGTTTCCTGCCTGCAGGATGCCAGCCTGCGGCGCTGGCTGGTCAGCGGGCCCTGTGACTCCAGCCCTCATCCTTGGAGGAATGTGCCTCTTTGTAGAACAGCTCAATTAGCTTTCTAAGAGGTTTACTGGGGCCTTTTTTCCACCCTCTGCTCTTATTTCCAGAGCGACCCGACATAGACGGCTTTAGCGGCTTCCAGCAGAGCCAATTAACAGCGAGCTGCTGATGAAGATCTCGGCTGTGGACCCGATTTAAATCTCATTTTAGATATGGTCTGTTTTAGTGCATCAGAGCAGCGCTGTGGGTCAGGAGGGTAATCGGACTGACAGCGCTCAGTGTCTGTCCCTCTGTCTCCACTCTGTTTGCATACATGCAAAAATGTGGGGCTGCAGCTCGTGAGGCCACGTGGAGAGAGGTGGAGTTTGGAGGCAGCCATGTGCAGGTCTCAGGGATTTTGAACCGCGTTGCCATGACACCAGACAACCTCCCGAAGCACCGGCCAGAAGACAGCTTAGTCTGCAGGGTGCGTTGGTCTGGTTTGGGATTACTGAAGTTTACGAGCAGAAATCAAGACGACTTAGGGGCCGTCCACACGAATATGTTTTTTTAGAATCCGGATAAATACTTTATCGTATCAGCCTCACATCCAGACGGATACGGCGTTTTCGGGGTGTGAAAACGGTATTTTTTGGAAACGGGAAAATACGGAAATGCCGGATTGCCCGGAGTCATCTGGACGGCGAAAACGTATTAGCCCCGCCTCTCTAGCCTTTAACCTCAGCCGCCGCCGCTAGACGCGTCATAACAACAACAACAATGGTGGACTACTACTACCTGTTTGTTAACAGCGCATGCTCCATGGCTTCTCTTCCGGTTGTAGTACTTAGTTTCGTCATATGTACTACAGCGTTTTGGGTCGTTTCAGTGAATCTGTGTGGACGCAGGTATTTCTGGAAACAACGCCATGTTTACATGTTTACAATACAAAACAAATCCAATACTGACAGTTACGAAGCACACAGTTCAGACGAGAGGGGTCCACTGTGTCTAAGACTGGTTGCCATATTAACACTGTCATTAAGGGTGTATTCCCATTCCCAGTATTCCCAGTATTCCCAGTATTCCCAGTACCTCTTAATACCAATCACCCAGTGTGGTTCTCCTTAGAGATCCAGAGTCAGTTTGGAGTTGCAGTTGTTCCTCATTATTTAAGGAATTATGCATGACTGATATTTCTTACCCTCTGCAGTTCTCCAAAATACCCATAGGGGGCGCTTTATCTACCATAGGGGCAGCCAAGAGGGAACTTTTGCTGTGTTTTTTAACCTGGTGCCCACAAGTGCCCCTTCCCTTCCTCTTCTTGTTTTTCTCCCCTTTTCTTGCCTTTTTCTTCCTTTACTTTTTGTCCGTTTCCTCCCTCCAGCTCTTCCTTTTATAATTCCTTCTTCCCTTCTTTGTCCTCTTTTAACCATCCTCTTTCTCTGTGTTTGTTCTGTGATCACTGTTGTTAATGACCTTTTTTATTTTCACCCTTTCTTCTTTATTTCTAACTTTGTCTTTCTTTTACCATTTTCCCTCCGGTTCTTTGTTCTTTTTGAATTTCTCCTTCCTCCTCCTCGTCCTCCTCCTCCTCGTCCTTCTCTCTTGGCGCCGACTCAAAGTTCACGAGGAGTTCAGTTTTTGCAAATCCAGAGCCAGCCGCTGATTCCTGGATGGAGTCACAGGAACGCTCAGCGACAATCAGACTCTATAATGTTTACTCTTCATGATCCTCATTAGTTATTTAAAGGTAGAAAAACAGCGTTCCTCCTCCTGTCACATGACCTCTGCTCGCAGTTGGACCATGGTTTGTTATGACAGAGTCTCCAAGTGATGAAGCAATGATGACCTTCACCATGTGGCCGTGTTGTTTTCACACACACAGAGAGGATGGATGAACTGCAGCATTCACTGAACATTGCCCAATATCTGAGAACAGCAGCATGTGGTGTCAATCAAACTGTGAGTTTACTGACCTGAAATCAGCAGAAAGCTCCAGTTTGTAACATTACTATAATATAATAACATTACTATAATATAATGGAATATAATATTGATAGTTTTCATTAGTCATTATAATAACAATCATTGTGTTTTTGTTACCTTACAATCAGACGTTTTTATCTACAGAGGCAGCGGGTCCTCTTCTGTCGGAAGCTCTGTAATGTTTACATATGTCTTTGTGTACTTTTAACGTTTGAAATTTGAATGGAGAAGAAAAGGATGAAGTGAGCTCAGAGTGAGCGCTCCTGTTTGTACAATCTGTGCAGATGTTGAGGCCTCCACCCAGAGACAGATGTGTGTTTTGACCTCAGCTCTCGTCTTTCTGCACAGATTTATTTCTTCATCTGAGGGGCCCCTTGGAGCCCCCTGCCCCGTTACGTAACGCTGTTCCTCCCCAGGGTTGAATTCGTCCCCCTGCAGTGATAACATGTCCACATGTTCAGC